ATGGAACTCTATGCTTCAAACTTGCATACCGAGTCGCTTATAGCCATTACATTGTATAATTTCTACGCTAATTCCTTAGTGTAGAGAGATGGTTTGCTTCGGATAGTACGTACCCGAGCTAAGGTCGAATGCCGTTAAGGGCTATTTAAGTTATTTTAACTGGCTTGTCCCAAAGAAACAACGAATGATAATGCCAAAGCAGGCTTAAGTCGTCCCTACTTCAGACACGCTGCGCCTTTCGAAACTTCGGAGTTCTTACCGAGATCATACCCTTTTCCCATTATTTTCCCGTTCATGGCAAATGACAAGATGTCAAATCCACCACATTCCCACTCAAAACAAAATCTGGTTCCATTCAGAAGCCCGTCAGAGGCAGTTACAATAGTACAACTGATTAACTAGTTACATAACTAGTTAGTTAATAGTATTAAGTATTAAGTTACATAATCGTGGAGATTTCACTCCGGGTAGCCAAGCGCCACCAGGCCACTCACAATTTTCATAATAATTTACGGACCCAAACACGTGGGATACCAATCATCATCCACCACACCCCCCATCGGCGCAAACGTGCTTTAAGACCGATGATCAGAAACGAAGACGGGACTTGGAGTGGACCTACAACCATCTGATACGTCAATTGACCCATGCGGTACGTATCTACATGGAGTCGAAGAATTTAGGATTTCCACGGGCGTTGGAACCGAGTCTTACTACGCGAAGCTAACCAAGATACCACCAACATGGCATTTCTGCGAAGATGAGGCCCCCAAGTCCGCACGTCCACGTTGACATTGACAAGCGGGAACCTAGAAATAAACTCGGTGTCATAGCTTACCTGATATCGAAAGATGAGATGACGTGCGGCCCCGTTGCCGGCTCCTTTTACTACTTACATATGCCACATACATATGTAGTATGGCTACCTACTAATGTACATAATATGGCCATTATATAGCTATAGTTAAAGTTAACTTTATCAAAGTCGGGGTAGCGATTCGCAAGTCCGGGACGGCTAAAATCCCAGCTCATAAGAATGGGCTCCATCTCAAGGGTTAGTTTTGCCCGAAGCTACGTCTAACATCGTGATAGGTCATATATAAGTCATTGCACAGCGCCAATACGGCCGAAACCCTGTCGGCCCTTTGTTCTGGGAATACTGACTCGACAGGAACCCGGCTCCTCATTAGTGGTCCCGTGAGGGTACATAAATGTTCTTCATGGCCCATTATTCTGCATTATTCTTTACCAATGTGTCCAATGTGTAAAAACATAGCCTATCCGCACGTAAAGCAACCCGAGCTAACGGCACCGGTTCCCCAGGAAAGTGTACAGCGTTTACAAGGGAGTCCGGTCTGTTGGTGAGCAGCAACTAGCTAGTTCTTGGATAAATGGGACAAGCAGGACAATTATTTTAGTAAAGCAAAGCTACCAACGTCGAGGCTTACTTACCGTCTAAGCTGAAGTTTCAACATGCCTGAATCCGCCACCGCTAATAAACTAGGTTATATCTAGACATATTCATCAGGTCGTTCTAGTTCACGTGTAAGTATCGCAGCGCCGTTTACATCTTCCTTGCTCTTGCGCGCGCGCGTAGCCAAGAAAGTGGCCAGCCGCGGGGTCGTCTACCGCATACGTGTCGAGTGGCTTCATGACGCGGTTATTGACACCAACTCCCGCCGTCATCGATGACAGGTCATCACTACTAGTAAAGGCCATCGTAAGTTGGATAGAGCAGTCTAGAGTAATCATCTGAAAAATCTAGAATATTACGAGTCACTTCGCAACGACATCATGAGAACTTTATATTTCCGAGTTCCCGATGGTGTCTAGACAATTTGCTCACCCGCGCTCACAAGTGTATCGTGTTATTAACCACCAACTACCTAAATTCAGCTAGCAAAGGTCTACTCGGGAGCCTCTGTTAAGAATGTTGGCTGAAAGATTAATGGTGGTAAATTCCAACGGGTAACCTAAGCTATTTCATGCCAACTGCCGTCGCATAGTTAGAGCAGAGCAAAGCATCAAATAGCAAAAAAAGAGCCTTACTAAGCCCAAAGACGTCAATACATATGGATTCGACTTCAGCAGTACATGTACCCTAGCTCCGAGCTACGTGAAACCTACACCGGCTGCCCACATGAGGATGTTCTATTAAGGAATACAACCGAAATAGTAATCGTCACAAGTAGGTCTTTTTCTCAGCTGCAGTGTAGCCGTACTTTGCAACTTATTGTAACTACTTGGATAAAAGATAAAAGTAGTGGAGCACTGAATTACTTTTGTAGTTGTCATAACAGACTAGAATATGGTCAACTGTCTCACTCGTCAAAAGGAGAGACCCTTCCAATGGTTATCTACTATAAGGAAAGCCATGTCCTGGTTGATAACACGCCACCGCGTGAGCAGCTGACGAGGAAGTCGATCATCGATCCCTTGGCGATGCTCGAAATTAGGCTAAGAATCAATTTGTGGTGACCACATTTAATATGGCGTATTCTGCTTTTTGTGAACAGACGATAGTTACCGAAGCCGGCATCGGTTGCGGCACTCCCAGTACCAATTCTGTGTCTAGACCACTCCGTCTGAAGTCCGAGATGCGGCACGACGGGGTTACACTAGATCGATTCCACATATATGGAAATTGCAGCATTCAGAATGTTTAACTTCATTTAATCGGAAGCTGTATAGTAGAGTTACTTTGGAGATGAGCTATCACGAGCAGTGCCCTTAGACACTCACTTTAGACTGAGGCGCTCTAGCCCAGTCCAAGTAGGGAAATAAAGCAAAAGGAAGAAAACTTTGCTTTTTTCAAATCCAGCCAGAGGTCGAGGCCCGGTTATCTGCGTCAGTCAAGTTGCACGGCTTTCTCAGTAGCCGAAACCAGTTTGTCACACTGGGGCCTGGGTGATCAAACAACCGTACTTCTCTCTGTCTCTTTCTCTCTTTCTCTGCTCTTCAACATTGGGACTCGAGCCAATGTCCACAAAGCGACTAGGAAAGGCCGACCCCCAAGGCAAACACGGCCGGGAAACTAATAAACGAGCCCATTTTATAATGCACCGGGCCAGAAACGGCAGTGTCCAAAAAAACCCACTTGGCTAACGGCAGAAGCAATAAGTAATAATATCAATATTTCAACACACACACACACATACTCTTTTGCCAAAAAAAGCCACCGACAAGCGCTTGTGAGCGGCAGCCTGTGAATTGTCAAGCGGCTAGCAGCCGGAACCGAGAAGTGTGCGTATCCGGGATTATTCGGTACTTCACATCCGCCGTCCCGGGGTGACTTCATACCCCCTTTCCCTTTCCTTTTCCTTACCAGCCCATATTACGGCTGTACCCTCCTCCTCCCACCACGAGATCCGCTCTCTCAGATGTGCGTCTTAGACCCACGCCCTTAACACCACCGCCACCACCATCACCACCACCACCCCATCCGGACTCGACCATCCTCAACTTGATCCTATCTCTTAGTCTCCGACGGTTCTTCTTCGATCTTCTATAGTGATGGTGGTGCTGGTGCTGGTGTTGATGATAAGAATTCCTCGACCGCGGGCGCAGCAGAAATTGCTGATGCAGTTGCTGCGGCCACTCGAAAACCGGGTCGAGCCAGCGCTCGGGCACGCCCGAAGACGTGACTAGACCATGGGCGCCACCGACGCCCACACGGCCGAGGATGTACTGCCAGCAGTGGGCCAGGACGCAGACCAGAGTGAGCAGCAGCACGACGCTGACTATGCCTACCGCCATGGCGACGACGAACGCCTTGGGGAAGTTTTCGGGCACGGGCGTGTCGTTGTCGTCCGGCTCTTCTTGCGCGCGGCATAGTGTCCCGTAGTAGAGAAGGAAGATGGCGGGAGGGATGGTGGATACTAGGTATCCCATCTTTGCAGTACGGCACGATAGCCTCAAGAACGTCAGTTTCGAATCCTCAAGCACACCGAATATATGCAGGATTGGAGACCATCCGAGATGCTGAATGCTTGAGAGGTAGTAAATGCATCAACCGGGACATCTTGAGAGCAACGAGTCCGCTCATAAGGCGAAGAACCCATTTTACTCACTCTTCGAAAGAACCGGGATGCTTCATGTTTCATAGAATCATCATGTTTTGTTATTCGTATCTTTTCTTTTCTTCCCAGCAGCTCTTCTCGGCACGTTGTCGATCACGGACGGATACGAGGACGAGAAACAGGTTACGGAAAACTTAATCGGGTACCAAGCCATGCACTTCGGAACTGGCAAAGCAGAGGTGAGTTCAAGCCCACGCGAATCCATTCGCTCGTTTCTTCGAAAACAGGGATTTCTCGATGTTGAAATAATCGTGCCTGGTGTCGATGATTCTCTCATCTGTGTTGTGTTTAAAACTCTATCATGACCTTGCTTCTCGTATCTTGAAATTGAAGGTAAGAGCACTGGTGGAATCATGGTTGATGTATGTAATAAGGGTCTACTGTAGAGCTGAATTGTATAAATGGGTTTGGATCATAATTTGATAAGATAACTTGGATAGAATTCGTACCTAACGGAGGTAGATACAAGTTTGTGATTTACATTACATATATCCTGTTTTAGCTGAAGCGGAAGTCAACAAGTTGTACCGAGAGAGTACACCTGTATTGGCTCTTAGAATGCACTCCCTGGCTAGTAATGAAGCAAGTGTGCTTTGCTAGGTATATCTTCTTCAATGGTTGATCATGCAACTACATGCGCACGAGAGAGCGATTTTATTAGTGAATCCGTATGACGCCTCGAAGAGCAAAAGAAAAAAAAACATGTTTGAATTTGCATGGAAGATTGTGCAAAATATCCCGATAATAACTACTATACCTATCATACATGGTAATGGACTAAAAGAAAAAAAAAAAAAAAAAAAAGTAAAAGGTAAAAAAGAATGACGAAACGTTTGTTTGTATCATATCATTTAAATCGAGGTTGACTTGATTGTGGGAATAATTTGACAAAAAAGCAAAAAGATAATTGCACATTTTCCTTGATAAGACGGGGATTCGAACCCCGGCCCCTTTCGGGAGTAGGATTCTCAATGAATGAGAGAAGAGTCAATAACTCTTGAATCTACCGCCATAGACCGCTCGGCCATCTTACCATTTCTTGGAAGGTGCTGGGAGGCTTGGTGCCTCGGTTGAGATTCCGGTTTGAATATTGCACTTATATTTTAGTGTTTTTTCTTTTTGGTATCCCGAAGTACGACCGCCCCTCACTTTTTTTTTTTTCTTTTCTCCCCTTCTTGGTGGGGCAGCACCGGTGCGTCGGATAGCTGCAGGCAAATTTTTTTTTCTTAGGACTGACATTTTGCTGGTACCTAGGTACCTAGGTAATCAATTTCCCTAGTCTGGTTTTGTTGATGGCCAATTCTAGAAATGAATACGAAACTTGTCACATAACAGTTGACATGATTTTGCCTTTGCAGTCGCATCTATCAAGTCCAAGCCCTATGGTAAGATATTGGAACCCAAGACTATAGACCATAGATACGAAGATCTTGGTCTAGATTGATGCTAGATACTCTTAAGATGAAGACCCGTAGTTATTTGAGTATTCTAGAAGAACACATCTTGTCGAAGTATGTTCGGGATCTTTGATAGAGACATCTAATCCCAAACTTGCTCCTAAACTTGGCCAATCTAAACCAATATGTTGATGCCGACTCAAGACTCTAACACCAGCCGTTTCGATTGCTAGCATACCTCGGTATACACGGCGTGCTCTCTTAATACCGTTCCTAACTAGTTACATCACCAGTGCTTCATCGCTTTATCATTATGCGTATCGCAATTACTTGGCATTTATCACTCAGAAGATATCTATAAAGTTCTTATGTCATGGTATTGTCGGGTATCGCTTATCGCTTATACGGCCATTACTTAGGTAGTTTCCATGACATATTCCGTGCTACGTCGATATCTACTGAAATCTACTATGTATCTCTAAGCTCATTCGTCGTCCGACCGAACCTAAAAAGTCCGTAAAAATGGCCTTTCCTTAGTAACCCGCCGGACCCACTTACCACGCCTGTAGCCCCATAAGCCCTAAAGGGTGTATACTAGCCCTAAACGCCGCTGCACTACAACACAACATAATTACATTTTACAATCGTCTCTCTCACTAATCGGCGGGGATAGCTCAGTTGGGAGAGCGTCAGACTGAAGTTAGGACTTCAGTTCCATTCGAGATCATCTGAAGGTCGTGCGTTCGATCCGCACTCACCGCATCCGTTTTTTTTTGTATATGCTATCACATACAACTAAACTACATCTCGACATGGGCCTTGTTCTCGAGAACTAGCTATAAGCGCAATATCAACAAGACAGATAAATCTAATTTAATCCCAAGTGTCACCTCACTCCATCACGAGGTAACAAATAGTCATCATAAATATCAGAATCCAGCATGGAACGAACCCCTTCACCCAAGTGACAACAAGAGCATCTTCTATACCAAACAGCGAAGGGGGGTATTTATTACTCTCTACACTACCATTAAGTATTAATAGGCATAGACTACTAAACCCAACATTCCCCCCCTTTCCCTTCCCCTTCCCCTTAAACACCCACGCCTATTACTACGAAGGGTATAATTGCCTCTCTCTCTCCTCTCTCTCCCTTTCTCCTCCTCATCCATCTTTCTAAACGAGCGAAAGGGGTATATATATATATGTATAAAAATGATTTCGCGACCGATCCCATCCCCCGCATCATCCCAATTAATATCCAGGTCGTTACCAAGTTTTTTCGTGACGATCGTTAATCGTGTTGGTCATCACACAAGTCGTTAAGGAGTGACAGGCCCAGCCTACCATGGTTTTTGACACCAAACGAGGTTAGGTGAAAATAAGGTGTTGAAGAGCGTATATGCAATATATATAATACCGGGGCTGCTACTTGCGGGAGACCTGCAAGCGAAACGTTCAACGCTGGGCAAGAGAGCACGCGGTATATGCTGATACCTCCTGTTTTTGTGTTCTAATTATTTAAGCGGCCTGCTCGCCGACGACGGGTGCCGTTGGGGCGGTAGCCGTCTTCTCGGGGAATTCACCGGCTTGGTGGACGCGGCCGTATCGGGTAAAGGCAAGGTTAAGCCTGTTGTAGTCCCACCTTCGGGAGAGGATGAGGAAGGCAAAGGCGCCGACGGGCACTAGCAAGACATCCAGAATACCGAAGAAGATGTATCCGGGAGTCACACCAATGCGGTTACCACCGTCGGACAGACCCCAAGCGATCGGGTATAGGAGCCATAGAAGGTTGACCCATCCTGCAAGAAGGGTGTCTACGATATTAGAGTTAGTCATCGCCATCTTATATTAGATCGCAATGAACGGTTCGAGGTGGTACTTACGGTCACCGGCAACATCGACGCGCCTGGCGGAAGTTGTGCCGTGGAACAGAGTGCTGAATGCGAGGAGCAGCCATGAGACGGTTCCGAAAGCGTAGAAGCCCCATTTGTAGTTAGATGTCGTGAAGGCGGAGACAAGGTAAGAAACAACCCTGCTATCAGTTAGCACATATTCATAAGACTTATATATCAGATGATATCACGTATTCCCACTTACCAGGTCCATGCCAATGCGACGTTGTAAAGAATCGTTGCCCAAGAGACACCGCTCAGAAGGCCAAGAGCAATCGTAACAACGGGGAAGCTCACAGCCCAGTTCACATACTCAGCCCAGAAGATTTGTCGCGTCCATGGGTCTCCAGGCTTGTGGTTGACAACCGGGACAACCTCGTAGGCGAGATCAGAAGCGATAGCGAAGTAGGAGATGGAACCGACAAGGAGGGCGATGGTGAAGAGGTAGTGGAAGATCTTCTCGCCAGATCGAGCTACAAAGCTAGTAGCGTAGAAGATGATGAAAGAGAGGACGTAGACAGCTGTTGCCGCCCATAACCAATCGCTACCATTTACGGTCAACTGCTCATTACCAGCCGGAGGGTTGATATCAAGAGCCTCGTTCGCACGTCGGAATATGACAGCCATGTCGATGGTCTGTTTTATTATATTTTAATGTAAACCAGGCAAGCCGGGATGTATCGAAAGAATCTTCACTATCGAAGTGAGAGTTGAAATATCTGATATATAGCCTTTGGATCACGGTATTTGCTGTGATTCGTTGTGTAGCTGATGCAGACGAGTCATAAGACGAAAGGGGGGGGACGAGGCTCATAATATAGCAAACGACCCCCCTGCAAGAGCATCTAAGATGGAAAGCTGTAGAGTTGCATCATCGCGAAGGCCGGAAACCAATAAGTGGTGATGAGTCAATATCTCAGAGTGAAGCAATGGTTAAAGCCGAGATCCGCACGAGGTATTCCGTCTAGATGATCATATGATCGTAAATTTGTTGCATATGGAATCTTCCACAAAAGCCGGAAGGGTGCGGGCGACGGATCAAGACGGGTCATAGTGATGCGTTTGTGGCATGGGCTGGACTGGAATACATTGTTACCCACTCGGAGCTTTGCATACTCGGAGCCAAGGGTAGAGGCCGATGGAACGAGCGGTAGCAGAGACACACCAAAGAGAGAAGTCGACCTGCAATAAAGAAAGTCTTTGTGATGCATGGTTTCTCGAGCCAATGTGGTTGACGATCCTTCAGCCCTGATGTGGGGAAAAACCACGGGACTCGAAAAAACCACCACGAGAACGTGGCAAGCTTACCGTTAGCTTCCGCCGGTTCCAATATTTGTCTAGATTTGTAATAGTTTTATATAGCTAGGAAATGAATAATCCTGAAATTTTTTATCTAGCTTACAGTGAGGCCAAGAAAGAGACATGTCTAGATCATCTTACAAATTACGTTGGAAGCCCGAGGGAAAAGATTATGCCATCGCAGAAAAGGGGTCATGAGGGCGTAACGAACGCCCGGATATGATCAACCAAACGCAAGGAATCCTCGGTAATGGTGACAAGATGTCCCAACCGACAGAACGATGTTAGGAAAATGTACAATAGCAAACGGCCATGTCCTTTCGGGCTGATGGTGATGGTGATGGGATGGGATAGGATGGGCTTTCACGGCAGCATCGGATGAGCTAAACACAAGATGTAGTGTAGCATTCAAAAACGGTGATAGGTCCCCATAGAATACTCGACCACGTTCGGTCTAAAAAAGGAAATGGGTAGCACCAAATAGAGCTAGCATCGTTGAATCAATGCCGGGGCTTGCAGGGCTGCCAATGTAAAAAGCTCTTTAGATCGCTAGGGCTTTGGGCTCCGCACCTCCGACGAAGGCCGGAAAGGCGAGCGAGCTATCGATGGGTAGCGAAAGGTATCAATCAGTTTTAAGCGACTGGGCAAAAATGCATAGTGGCGTCGACTTGACATGACGTGACGTGATAATAATGAAGGCCATTTTCTATAGGAAAGAATGAGAGATTTTGGTTATATTATTCTCTCGTTACCTTACCCCCTAGCAACAAACCACTTGGCTTTTCGGTGAATGAGTGAGAGTGAGTTACCCTCGTCCATGTCCTATGGACAAACGATGAGAAGGTATTTGCGTTGGAGAAGTTTTCCTATATTTCGATTACCGATGCCCTAACCAAAGCCAAGACGTCGTTTTAGTTGATATGTGCTCTGGTTCGTCAAAGTTTTGAAAATCGAGGCGGAAGCCAAAAAGGAGGGGGGGTGTTTGACTGGGAATAAGAGGTTTGGACCATTGAGAGCCTCAAATTGCCTGCAGCTTTTCCCTCGAAGCCACCCCCGGCTTTCACGGAAACGCACCATGACATTCATGGGCACTATGGATCGAGATGCAACGCTAGACCAGTCTCAGATGGCGATCGACTGTGCAGGTGTCACGCCACCGGGGAACCACCAGCGCGAGGCCTTTTTTGTTCCTTCGCTAGGTAATTTTTTTTCTATTGGGTTTAGTTTTGGGCAATAGCCGGCAGAAGATGATGGAATGACAAGCTTGTTTAAACGTCCCTTCTTTTCCACGTTGAATGATCGGAGACTATTAGTCGGCGACTGCCGAACAATCCGGGAGTTTCTTGTTTCTTACATAACCATACCCCGGACCTTCCGTTGTCTACCTACCTACATAGGTACATACCTAGGTACCTTAGTACCTTATGTAGGTAACTTCCAAGT